ATAATAATAATAATAATAATAATAATAATAATAATAATAATAATAATGATAAACATTTTAATAGCCTCTAGTAGCCTCTTTTAATTAACGGTGTAGGGTTTTAGTTATATAAACTTTTTCTAGGATCTTGACACGAAAAGCACCTGGGTCGTTAATGGGTTTATTAGTTGCCTTTGATGTTGGATTATAAGTGTATACAGGTCAGATAATTGGGCAAAGTAGATATTCTTTCTCCCCATCAACACAGAACTCTGTTCTCTATGAACGCTCACTTGCACATAAAGAAAGGGCTCTGTAAAGACAGCCGCTTTCTTCCCTACCTTGACTTACGGAATTCTATTTGATTTGGTAAGAAATCAAACTAAAAAAAATTATCTTTAAATTTTTAGGTGTGTTTACATATGTGCACCCTGTCTATGCTGTGCCTGTGGAAGCCGGAAGAGAGTATCAGATTTCCCGAAATTGGAGTTACACAGATGGTTGTGAGTTTCCATGTGGGTGCTGGCAACTGAACCCGGGTCCTCCGCAAGAGCAGCAAGTGCTCTTAACTGTCAAGCCATCGCTCCAGCCCTGGTAACTTCTAATAAACAGGGAGAGAAGAAACCATCCTCCACCGCATGCAAACATACCTCTCTGGTAATTCAAGCTCTTTGACCGAGGCGTTCTGTATAGAGCCATGAAAATAGTATAAAAACAAGCACACACAAAGTTTTGACAAATATAATGAAACATTTACAGAGAGACACACAGTAGGTTTTTTTTTAATTGCATATGTGAGGTTGTCATACCCCTGGAGCTGGCATTTTGCAGGCAGTTGTGAGGCGCCATGCTGGGAATTGAACCAGGGAATCTCTGGCAGAATAGAAAGTACTCTTAACCTCTGAACCATGTCTCCAGTCCCAATTCTGGGGTCACTTTTGAGAAGAATTTTTTTTCCTTGCCATGAACTACACGTCCCAAGACAAACACTACAGCTGACATTAGTAAAATTTCAGTGTTACTGAACACATTGGACTGAGGCTCATTGGCTCTGCCGTGCAGACGCAGATGCTCCTGAAGGAGCGATGTCACTCACAGGTTGCCAGAGAGGTAGATTTTGGTAATTTCTGGACTTTGGTCTTCTGGCGCCCAATTACAGTGAGGAGAGAAAAAAAACCCGTTAGACAGCCTGGAATTGCGGGGTGCAGGTGAGCTTGGGGTTGGTAGGAGAGCACCGATTATTAAGACCGGAATGTTAAACAATCATCCAAGTTTGGGTAGGTTAAGCAGACAGTCTGCCTGAAACTCCGAGAAATAGTTTGCCAGAAAATCCACCTCTCGCCTTTCATTTAATAATTGGGAAGTGTAAATCTAATTCACAGCAAGTACTTATGTATCTTTGTGTGTGTGTGTGTGCGTGTTTTCACCCACATGTCAGTGTTCAGTGTCTTCCTCCATTGGTCCCTAGGCTGTGTTTTGAGACAGTCTCCCACTCAGCCTGGAGCTCACAGATTTGACTGCAGACTAGCCAGCCATCTCCAGAGACCCTCCTGTCTCCATGTCCCCTGTGTTGGGATTACAAGTGTGTGCCACCACGCCTGGCTTCTTACACGCCTGTGCGGCAAGCATGTTACCGAGTGAACCATCTCCTAACCTCCCTACCTGGCAATGGCGGTAAGAAAAACTGACCCAAGGAGATGTTCAACACTTACGAGGTGGAAGACGGTGCTAATGAGTGTTTCTTGAAGGAATTCAGAAGGATAACATAGAAGCCTAATGACCACGTATGGTGGCATAATTTCAATTTTTTTTTCAAATGTGTAAGAGTGTATTAAAAATAAATTATTGACGTCTTCAGCTTGCGTGGAGGTTCTCTCAGAGTAGTTGGGGAAGGGGGAAAAAAAGGCCTTTTATAAAATACGGGAACCATCTTGAGTTAAACAAATGCCAGAAAAAATTATAATTGTAAAAAGCGAGATGTCTGCTATCGTTATTCCAGTGGCTGTGTTGTTTCCAATAACAGTTTGGCTCTGTATTTAGTCTGCAGCAATCTACAATTGAAATATAAAATAAAGATTTTTCTTTTCTATCCCTCTGAAGTGCTGAGCCAAGCTAAGCAGAGCTGAAGGAAGCATCTGTGGGCGATTAAGACAAGCTTTCCTGTGGGGTTTCGAGTAGAAAGTAAACATGGATTCTATCCACAGTCAACAGCATTTACAAATGTAAAGAGAGGAAGCTACCGAGTGTTTGGAGAGCGGACTACCAGAACGCGGGCAGAAACACGGAGTGGCAGATGGTGATAATGAGTTCCATACGGTCAAAGGCTTTGTTCAAAGGAAAGCAAGCGGCGAGCGGTTCTGGCTGATGATACTTTATTGAAGTGATTTTTTTTGTGTGTCTTTTTATGTTATTTTATTTTTATTTTTTATTTTTTGCTTTTGACTTTTGAGAAGGGTTCCATCTCGCCACGCCAGAAAAAGGTGACTTAGCAGTAAGAGAAGAGAGAGATTTTGTTCGGGAGCCTGTGTGTTTCCTAAGCTTGTTGTGGGCGATGCAGCCCCTGGAGCGCCCCCTGGAGGCTCTACCTGGAAGTTGGCTCTAACGCTGGGCTCTGTGTGTGTGTGTGCGTGTGTGTGTGTGTGTGTGTGTGTGTGTGTGTGTGTGTGTGTGTGTGTTGACTTATTAGGCAAAAATCCTCAGATGAGGATCTGAGTCGGATGCTCAGCACCCACGAGAAAGCTTGGAATCTGAGGATCCCTGGAGCTGGCTGGCTAGCTATGTCAGCCAAATGAACCCGTACTTGGGAGACTGTGTCCCAAAAAACAAACTAAGAAAAAACAAGGAGGGCGGCCTTGGGGGAGCAACAGCTGAGGTGCACACAGACACACAGACACACAGACACACAAAGGGAAGGGGAGGGAGAGAGGGAAGGGGAGAGGGAGGCATTCTCTAATTGTGCTTACCTTGGGTTTTGGGTCGGTCGTACCTTTCTAACTTTGTGAGATTATGTCACTGATTTGGCGCCAAATGGGGTTCCAGTTCTGCCTCTTTACCTTCCCAGCCGTGCCCCAGTGCTGTTGGTCTTCAGAGTAGGGGTCGCTGTCACGGTCATCGTCCATTTGTTTCCCTGACTCTCCAGGGGTGGCCCACAACTACGGAGCACGAAACCCTGTGTGTGTTTCTGTCCTGTACAGATGGGCCTGTAAGAAAATTGTGTTTGTGAATCAAGCACAATAGGAGCTTAGTAACGATATAAAATATGATAGAACGATCCGAGTAGCATGCTGTAGCAAGTTTTGTGGATGTGCTCTCTGTCTCTGAGCTGACGAGGACTGGCCAGTGCTCAGCCTGCGTACCGTGAGCAAAGGGATACTTCATGTCTTGGATGGGACAGGATGGACTGGTAGCAGAGTTCGCCACTCAGGATGACAGGTTAAAGTTATGCAGTAGTTATGCAAATTACCACGTGTATTTCTGGACAGTTGTTACCTGTGATAAGTGAAACTATGTAAGGGTGGGGGTGGACACTAGAGGAGCAGTCTTTGTGGCATTTATGTATTTATCTATATACTTATTTAGTGTGTGTGTGTGTGTGTGTGTGTGTGTTGGCCAGAGGACAACTTGTGGGTTCTCTCCTTCCACTGTGTTTCAGGTTGTCAGGTTGTCAGATTGGCTCAGCGAGCACTTTTACGGCTGAGCCATCCCACTGAAGCTTGAAGGAAGAATTGTTACAAGGAGCAAAAGTGAATTAAGTGGTAAAATGTCTTACCAGAGTCATTCGGATGGCTGCAAAAATGCACACTCCAGGGCCCTCGCTAGTACTCCCGAGTCAATGTCTCTACAGTTTGTTGACCACAGACCATGCAACTCTCTTTTGTGCTCGTTTTCTTCAGGCAGTGTTTCCTCATGCAGACCAGGCTAGCCTTTCTCCACGCTGTGATCCCCCTGCCTCAGATCCTCATCATTAGGGTGATAGGCACACACCACTACATCTGCCCAGCAGATTAAAACAGATCGTTCACTTTATGGTTGTGTCTATGAACTTACTACTGTGATATTTGTTACACATGTGTTTTATAACGTGTACAAGCTAGACGTTCGTTTTCAAAGAGATTTTAAAAATACACTGAAATTTGGGGCATCATTGACTGAAAAAAATACGTGGGGAAGTTGGAACATCCTTGCCTCCTATCTCATTGGGTCAAGGTTTAAAGGTCGTTGGTGTAGAACACGTTTGCTTAGTTGGACTAACTAAACAGAAATGAGTAGATCATAATCCAGCTCCCCAAAATCTCCAGCAAAGGAGCACATGACCCACAGCTTTGGTCCTCATTTTCACCCTCCCTCCATGCCTGTGTGCTTGCGTGGGCCAAGGCTGACTGTGAGAGCCAGTTCCTGTATTTTGCATCGCAATGATATTTTTGTTTGCTTTTTCCCTTTTGTTCTTTGTCCCTCTCAATGTTGCCAAACAACTCACTGCTTTGCAGCTGTGACCTTGCCAGCGGTATTCGGAACCCTCTGTTCTTAGCCACAAATATCTGCTGCCTTCAAAAGAGATACAGCCATCTTCTTCATACTGAACTGTTGTGAGAGGGTCTCCCTGGACCCTCATTTCAATTTTCTTCCCGTTTGGGGGTGATAGGCAACTCTCTCAGTCCTGGGTTCCCGGCACCTGCTTCTGTTGCGTGGCATTGCCTGACGTGCAGAAGTGTAAATCTTGTTTCCTCTGGAAGCCTTTCCCTGGCATTATAATTATCTAAGGTAGTAACAGCTCTTAAGAGCACAGTCTGTCACCTTGGCATCAGCTGAAAATCCAGGCAGGGTCTCCACGACTGCTTTGAATTGTGACGGAGACTTGGAACCTGACATCCCCGAGTTGCGATGATATTTAAATGATGGAGTCCCATTACCCTGCATAATGTGGGATGTTGACATTTTATTCAAACATGTCACCCTTGTCATCGAGTGTGGGCAGGAGAGCGGGTGCCACCCGGAGTAGGAGCAATACAGGATGATGCTATAGAGAAATGACACGAAGCCCTGAATAACGTCAATAATTACTTTCCACTTGTCATGTCATTTTTGGATTCACATGATGGCGTGTGGTACCGGGTTCATGACAGAAGTGGTTTCTGTGGTTCTGAGTGATGCTGAGGACACACCTCTTTATTAGAGGAAGGAAGCGTATGCTCGGGCTGGGAGGGTGGCTCAGTACTTTGGCACTTGCTAGTCCATCTTGAGGACCAGAGTTCAAATCCCAGCAACAACATTAGGCAGCTCACACCTGCCTGTGACTCCAGTAGACTATGGCGCCCTCTTCTGGCCTCCTCAAGTACCTGGCCATACTTGTAGACAAACTCACACACAAATAAAAAATAAAAATAAAAATAAAAATAAGTCCATGCCCTAACACTGATTATATATGTTCGTTTTTTTCTTATTTTGTATATACATCAGCTCTGCTTTTATGTACACCAGAAGAGGGAATCAGATTCTATTACAGATGGTTGTGAGCCACCATGTGGGTGCTGGGAATTGAACTCGGGTCCTCTGAAAGAGCAGCAAGTGCTCTTAACTGCGGAGCCAGCTCTCCAGCCCCCTGTTTCTCCTTTCTGAGATAGGATCTTGTTAGACAGACTTGGCTGACCAGACCATGTAGACAGGGCTAGCCTCAAAGTCAAGGCTATCCATCCTCCTGCCTCTGCCTCCCAGGCTGGGATTACAGGTGTGTGCCACCACGCCTGGCTTCTGCCCGGCTATTAAAACCCTTGGGCCTCTAGAAGCATATTATACTCAGAAGTGCCTCACTGTTGAGTGCTCGTAGCTATGTTTGCCTTCGGGTATAATGCGGATTGGTTTTATAAGTGTCAACGTACAGGAGATAGAAAGATGAGTATCCGTTACTCACTGATAGGAACTCGGTGGTATTGAAGGACCGCTGGATGGTGGCATACATCGCTGCTGGCACAGACAGACTGAAGAAGACATGGAATTTGCTGTGCAGACCATGCCGGCCTTGAAATCAGACAGCCTCCACCTCCTGAGTGCTGGGATTAAAGGCGTGTACTACCACAAACCCAGCTAGGAGTAAGAGCGTTATATTGAATTTGGATGCCCCGTATGGGCCATAGGCTTACAATTTATAAAGTACCTGAGTGAAATAAAATACCCATAAGAGAGAATTCCGCCCTTCCGGATCGTGATAGCAGCTGGGATGAAATATCCGTCCTTGTCCAACACTGCGAGGGAAGGACACAGTGCTGAGTTGACAAGGAGACCTGTGGTCGCTTGCGATGAGAAGGCCCCAAGCAGTGAAGATCTGTGAGTCAGTGAGTCTGTGAGTCTGCATTGGTGCAGAGGCGTCAGTGTGGCTGCAAGGCCCTGGTGGGGACAGACTAGGTGCCAGGGGAACAGAATGGCCCACGAGGAGCTGCGGGAGGACGAGCGGGCAGGACCCCCGAATACGTCTTTAGACTAAGGCGAGAAGTTTGGCTATGGCGGTGTGGTACGTGGCCACAAGAGCTTTGACTGATGCTACAAAAAGTCTCCCCATTGTTGGGACAACTGGCAAAGCCTGATCGCAGGCTGGAGGTTAGGTGATAAAGCTGTGGCGACGTCCATTTCTCGGTTTTAATGACTGCTTACGTAAGAGGACGTCTCGCCTCTTTAGGAGATTCATCTGGAAGTACTCGGAAGGGGAGAAGGCAGAATGAGGTGCTTTAAAAATGTGTGTGCATACGGGGTGGGGGATGGGGATGGGGGCGGGGCAGGTAACGATAAGCGAACGCAGGGTTACTTTTTCTGGAGTGAATTTACAGGGAAATGTTCATAGGGATTCTTTTAAATCCTTATGGCCT